CAACACAGTGTGGAGCTGGATGAGCACAGCAGGCCAGACAGCATCAGAGGAGCAGGAAAATTGAAGTTTTGGCTTGGGACCCTTCTTCACAAATTCTGAGGGAGGGTCCCAACCTAAAACATCAACTTTCCTGCTCCTCTGATGCTGTCTGGCCTGCTGTGTTCCTCCAGCTCCACACTGTGAACTCAATGTTCAGCGTTTAATTGAAAATATGGTATTTGTTTGTTGCTGTCTTGCCTATGTCTCCCTTTGCCCCTGGTTGCCATAGTTTGTGCATTAACACTTAAAGTATTCCTGTGAAATATATCCCAGTGTCAAGTTGTTTATTCAATATTATTTGAGCATATTTCACTGTATCAGGTGCTTAATCAATTCTATGATACTTTCCTAGACTTTACTTATGTATTTAAAAAAAAGACTTGCATTTATATAGTACTTTTTATGACCTCAGATCAACACAACAGATGCTTTAGAGCGAATGAAGTAAATTTAAGTGTAGCCAAGCGCAACATAAGGGGATGTGGCAGTAAGTTTGCTTATGGTCAGCAAACAGCAATGTGATAATGACTGGATTCTCCTTTTTTCTTAATTAGTGATCTTGACTGAAGCATAATGATAGGCCGGGACACCGGGGATCACTTCCGTGCTCTTCTTAGAAATAGTTCCACAAGATCCTTCGCACTTGTATCCACATGAGAGAGCAGCTGGAGTATTCCCTCAGTACTGTCGTGGAGTGTCAGCCTAGATTTTTGTGTTGCAGTCTCTGTAGGGGGACTTGAATTCACACCCATTCCCCAAACACTGAAAATCCCCAGGGGGAGCTTCTAAACATAATTTTCCCTAATGAGGCCTAGTCTTTTTGGTACATTCTCCACTATGCATACGTACTTAGTTTTCTTGCTGCGTAAGAGCCGATAGAGTCTGACGAAGCACACGCTTAGAATCCTGAGGGTATATATCCTAAACAAGACCATTCTAGCCATACCCATTTCTGATTACTGCATTTGTGTGAAGGACTTGGAATAATGACAAATAGCAACAGGAGTGGCCATTTGGCCAACAATTCATGGAATCTTGACGAAAATTGCAAAGAGCTAAATGCTGTCAGACTTACTTTGTGTAATATGATACCTTGAATGGATGTTTTCATTCTACTTACTGGTGGTTTGAAACTTTGGAAATTAAAACACCAAGTGATACTTGCCACTTGCGCTCAGCAAATACTAGCTTTAAAAGTACCGAATGGAGGTCAGTAAGTCATGCAGAAGGAGCACTTGTTATGTGCTAACACTTACTAATGAAATAAGCTAGCAGTTTTAATTCTGTTACATGGCAATTAACCAATTTTATATATTTAGTTTCATACAAAATTAGACTTCCCGCATCTAAAGATGCATGAAGCAGAGAATGTATGTGGCGCAGAAAAAAATACATAAACAATTGTTGTATTCCTTGAAAAGTGGAAGATTATGGAATGACTTGATTAACATTCCCCACCTGAAGTGGCTCACTGGTTAGCACAGCTGCCTCACAACACCAGGGACCCGAGTTTGATTCCAGCCTTGGGTGACTGTGTGTCTGTGTAGAGTTTGCATGGATTTCCTCTGGGTGCTCCGGTTTCCTCCCACAATCCAAAGATGTGCAGGTTAGGTGGATTGGCTGTGGTAAATTGCCCCAGAGCGTCCAGAGGTACAGGCTAGGTGGGTTAGCCATGGGAAATATATGGTTACGGGGATAGGGTGGTGGGCTTGATTGGGATACTCTTCGGATGGTTGGTGCAGACCCGATGGGCCAAATGGTCTCTTTCTGCACTGTAGGGATTCTATCATTCTCTGAAGATACTGAAGGGATCAGATTGTGTAGTTGAGAGTTAAACTATTTTCACTGCTTTGGGAGTTTGGGAACTAACATGTGGAAACACTTCTACACATCATAATTAGCAACATTAGGTGGCATAAATTAGGAACTCTCTTTTGCAAACATCAATTCCTGCTAGATTACTTGATCATTTTAAATCTGAGATGGAGGAGACTTTTGTTAACTGAAGGTAGGAAGGCGTATGGGCTTAGGTGGGTATATAAAGTTAGGTCACAGGTAAGCCACAAACCACAGGCTTAAGGGGTTGAATAGTGTTTTCTTTTGCTTTGGTCTTGGCTTGAGCTGTTTTGGATATTGACAATACATAAAAATTTGATCTTTTATCTACTTCAGAGTGCAAATCCTTGCAAACCTCAACATTGTGGGTTCAAGCCTCAGAATGAAACTAAAAGTACTTATTCTTGGCTGATAATGTTGGCGTTTTGTTGAAGGAAATCCTGCATTGACAGGAATAAACATTGTTGCAAAAAGGTGTTGAAATGGGGAGCCTTTGTAGTCCCGATGGCTAGTTGCACATTTGATTAACACAGCAGTCATAGTTAATAAATTACATTCACCTGTTTTATTGTTTGTGCATGAGTTGGGCATGACTTCCAACTTCTAAAACTGTGTCACCTTGGTTTAGTTTCAGCATCTCAAGGTGCTCCCTTATATTATGTGTTATAATATTTCATTTTCTCATCAGTGACTGTAAGGTTTTGAGTCCAATAATTTCATCACCCACTTTCTGAAGATCTTTGCCAGTCCTCTGGGATTTGACCAGAGTCCACTGTATTCTGAACAATATCCATGAGTAAACTCTGAATCCTTCACTCTTAATTCCTTCAGAAGCAGGATGAATCTTGTCAGAATCGGAAGCCTGAACTACTTTGAAGTTCAGCAATCTCCCCAGAATGTCTTGCCTTTTGATTTAAAGCATTTCAAGTCTATATTTACCTTTGAACTGTACCACTACTTCTTGCATTTCTCTCCCTATTTCTTTTGAGTACTATTGGAAAATAACCAATTAGTATTTCAGCAATTTTGCTATCTTCAGAAATAAGAAAAAGACAAACTTGTCATCGATAAGTCAGTTGCTTATGCTGAGAGAGAGTGAGTTAATATTTTAGATCTCTGACCTTTCATCACAACTAAAAGATGTTAGACAGGAACAGCATTGAGCCTATTAAAATTTATATTAAGATTGAGGGTAGAGGGCTGCCATGTTTTCCAACATTTTCTGTATCTCTGTGTGTTCCCGTAGTATCTTGCTTTTGTCTTTATCTTCAAACATCACTTCCCGAGTGTCAAATTTCAGTGTGCGAACCCTCTATACACTCATTGTTTACTCCTGACATACGTGAAGAATGCTTTAATGTAAGAAGAGGAACAATAATCTGTCACACTACAATTGCCCTTCAGGTAAAACGATGAGAAAAACAAAATTAAAATGTAAGTCTGGATGCATTGATGCCTTTCAACAAGCCAAATAGATGAGAACCCTATTTTGAGACCATGCTGTACATGGCAAAATAGAAACAAAATTATGTAACCTTCATATTGTGTTGTGACACGTGAAGGCAATTTTTTTTCCGTGATTAAAAAATTGTGTGTGACTTCAACTGAGACAGGTAAAATTTAATTAAGATGAATTGATGGCTTTTCGATTAGTTGTCTCAGGAACAGGTGTCCTTTTCCAAATTATTTCCACTCCGACAACTAAAATCCCAAAATAGCATTTGTTGTGAGTATTATAAAATGAAACTGTCCCTGTGTGCTTGTCATGGAAACAGCAGACAGCCAATTAGATGCAGGCCACTGGAGAGGTGGTGATTAATGCGGTTTCAGGCAGCAATTCTTGTCACAGTTGAAAATATGTAATTGAAACTATAAAGAATATGCGCAGGAGTTCATATGTAATACATATTTTATAAATGTATATGTTATATACATGTATATTTTATATAATCACAAAACTGGTAGCTGACAGAAATGGAGTCTTGTGAAAAGAACACGTAACCTCCTAATTTCAAAACCACTCAAATATTACAGTTAAATTGGGCACATAAAGAGATCTGTCAGCAGATCTTCAAATTGCATACAATACCAACAACCTATCAGCCACATTATTAGTGCTATTAGATTAAGTGAGATTTATACTACAGACTTCAAAGCTAAACATGTGGACTATACCTACAGTACCCACACTGTTTGCATTACACCCACAGTGATGTCAGAACTTGAATTTTCAGACTTTCCAAGGTATGTCTCATCTTGCTAAATTGTCTCCACAAAACGTATGAATTCACCCGTTATTTTGGACCTTTCTAAAAGCACTGATCTATCTTTGAAGTTTTTGAGAAGATTTGTAGCTTGTGTTGTGGATGAGGTTGTAGACTTACTTGCCGAGCCGGTGGGTTTGATTGCAGACGTTTTGTCACCCTGCTAGGTAACATTGTCAGTGCGCCTCCGGTGAAATGTTGGTGTTCCATTCCACTTGTTACTTATATGCCTGGGTTTGCTGGGATGGGTGGTATTACTTCCAGTTTTGTTCTTTAGTGGTTTGTATATCGGGTCCAGTTCAGTGTGTTTGTTGACGAAGTTCCGGTTGGAATGCCGGGCCTCCAGGACTTCCCTGGCATGTCTCTGTTTGGCTTGTGCTATTATGGATGTTTTGTCCCAGTCCAGTTCATGTCCTTTGTCCGTGTGTATTGAGACCAGTGAGAATTGGTCGTGTCTCCTGGCGGCTAGTTGGTGTTTGTGCATCTTTATTGTCAGTTTTCTTCCAGTTTGGCCTATGTATTGTTTCTCATGGTCCTTGCATGGTATTTTGCATATTACATTAGTTTTATTGGTTCTGGGTATGGGGTCCTTTACATTCGTCAGTAGCTGTCACAGGGTGGTTGTTGGTTTGTGGGCTACCCTGATACCTAGGAGTCTGAGTAATCTTGTGGTCATCTCGGATATGCCTCTGATGTACAATAGGGTGACGGGTGTGTCTGGCTACGTTGTCTCTTTCTTGTTTTGGCCTGTCACGAAGGTAACGGCAGATTGTGCTTTTTGGATATCCATTCCTTTTAAAAACTCCACGTAAGTACTTCTGTTGTGCTTCGCACAGTTCTGGGTTCCTGCAGTTTGTTGTGGCTCGTTTGAGTAATGTCCTGACACAGCTCCGTTTATGGGTGTTGGGGTGGTTGCTGGTATAATTAAGTATCTGGTCCATATGTGTTGTCTTTCTGTGTACACTAGTCTGGAGTTCCCCGTTGTTCTTACATTCCACCATTACTTCCAGGAAGGGTAGTCAGTTGTTGTTCTCTTCTTGTGAATTTTATTCCGGTGAGGTGGTTGTTTACGTGTTGTTGGGATCCTTCTAGTTTTGTGCGTTTGATAATCACAAAGGTGTCATCTACATCGCGGACCCAGAGTTTGGGTTGGATAGTGGGGAGCACTGTCCATTCTAATCTTTACATTACCATTTCTGCTATCATACCTGCTACTGGGGAATCCCATTGGTGTTCTGTTGATTTGTTTAAATATATGGCCATTGAAGGTAAAGTGGTTTGTGAGGCACTGATCCAGCAGTTTCAAGGTGCTGTCCTTGTTGATGCTGTTGGAGTCGTGGGATGCCTGCCTTCCTGATTCATCCAGCAGTGTGGCAACTGACTCTTTGGCTCGGTCGATGTTTACGGATCTGAATAATGCTGTTACATCAAAGGACACCATTATCTCATCCTCTTCTATTCTGGTATCCTTGATGATGTTGAGGAATTCTTGGGAGGAGTGGATGAACTGGGTTTCTATGGACTCCCTAAGGTACACAAGCTAGGGGTCGCCCTCAGACCAATTGTCTCACTACCAGGCACACCAACATATAGACTAGCCAAAGAACTACAACGGAAACTGAAATTCTTAGTTGACAACACTATCCACTCCATTGGGGGTCAACAAACATGTTGAACTAGACCCGATGTACAAACCACTGAAAAACAGAACCAGAAGTAATATCAACCACCCCAGCAAACTGATGCATATAAATAACAAGTGGGCCGGAACACCAATGCTTCACCAGAGGCGCATTGACGATGTTACCTAGCAGGGTGACAAAACATCTGCAATCAAACGCCAGCTTGGCGAGCAAGTCTACAACCTCATCTATCTTTGTGTTTTCCACTAATGATTTCGTGACATGTTTTCAAGTTTGGCATTCATACCCAAAGGATCAATACTGTAATGTAAGCTGCATATCTCAGATTGCAAAGCACAAACAAACTTAAAAGAAAATGTACATTTGTCATAAAAACTGAGGCAACAGCCAGATTTTATAGAATCCCGTATTTCTTGAGTCTTGGTTAGCAAGTATTTCTCCTTTTTCTGTTTCCCTTTCTTTTGCTTTCCCACTTCTGTTTTCCTGTGTTATTCCTTGCAGATTGTTAGCTGAGAGATTTGTATGTGCTTGTTCTTGCTAGACAACAATACAATGCTATCAGGCTTCATCTTTCACCCAGTGATAGTCCTTGCCTCTGATTCAAAAAGTTCCAGTCACAAGCCTCATTCAGGAGACTTGAGAACTGACATAGGCTGACAATCTAACAATATTGAAGGAGAGCTGCACTGTTGGAGGTTTTGTCTTTGGATGGGATTTAAGCTTAGACCTTGTTATTTGTGTGTTCGCATATAGTATATGCCCATATTGAATATATGTATGTAATACGTATATAATATAAATGTTGAGACCACCACCATTTTTCTTTGATTTTTCTCATTTTTGGTTTGGAACTGATAGTTGCAGTTGAGAATGGAACTTTGAACTTCAAATAGCAGTTTGCTTTAAAAAAGAGAGAACAAAAGACAGATGTTTGCTGTTGAGAACTGACCTGGAAAGATAATGCAAGTGAATGGCTGGTGTAAAGACACTATAACTTTTGGAGCTGAAATTTTGCTATGCTCAGACTGTCAGCAGTTTGGATGTTGAATTGGTTACTCAATGGCAGACCAGTGCTGGACAGCCAACCATAGAGAATGTTGAAAAGAAACGAGAAAGAACAGTGTACCGCAGTGACTCGGTTTTGGGCAGGAAGTGGTTTTATTTTAGAGTCTTCTGGATTGGTGGTTTTCAGGTTTTTGTTCTCTCTAGTTATTCTACAGATATAGACTTTTGAAAGTGTTGAGAAAAGAATTCCAGTCTGTAAGAAATAAGTAAAAGTTTCCGGAGGTCAGTGGAAGCCGTTTGCATTGACTGGTGACTTTTGAATTCCAGGAAGATATATAGTCCAAGTGTTTGCAATTCAATCCATCTTTCAAGGATTTCATTAGGTGTAGTATTCATTGTTGAAATGGGTTACTAAACTGACAAATTGCAGTTCTTTTCTTTTGTTTTAATTTATATGTCTATCTTCCAATGTAGGACTTTATGATCAATGAAGATTGGACTTAGATCATTGACATTAATTAGTTTAAGACCATAAGAATTAGGAAAAGGAGGAGGCCATTTTGCCCCTTAAGCCTGCCTCACTATTTAATAGGATCGTGGCTGATCTGACATTCCTTAATACCACTTTCCTGCCTTTTTCCTTTAACCCTTGATTCTCCTACTGATAAGATTCTATCTATCTGAACCTTAAATATACACAAGGATACTGCCCCCACAGCTCTCTGTGATGATGAGTTCCAAAGAGACCCAGCCTTCTGAGAGAAGAAATTCTTCCTTATCTCAGTTTTAAATTCGTGCCCTTTATTCTGAGACTATGCCATTTGGCCCTAGACTTTCCCATCAGGGGAAACATCCTCTCAGCATTTAGTCTGTTGAACTCCTTAAGAATCCTATATGCTTTAATGAAATCATCTCCCATTCTTCTAAATTCCAGTGGGTAGAGTTTCAATCTGTTTAAACTCTGTTCATAAGATAACCCCTCCATACCAGGGATTATCCTAGTGAATCTTATCTGAATTGCCTCCAATCTTTCCTTAAATAAGGGGACCAAAACTGCTCACAATACTCTAGATGTGGTCTCACTGGTACCTTGTACAGTTGCAACAAGACTTCGCTACTATTGTACTCCAACCCTCTTGAAATAAGGATCAAAATTTCAATTGCATTTCTGATTACATGCTGCAGCTGTGTGCCAGCTTTGTGTGTTTTGTGCACAAATACCCCCCAAGTCGGTTTTGTGTTGCAGCTTTCTGCAGTTTTTAAATAATACCTTGTTCTTCCTTCCAAAATGAACAACTTCACATTTTCCCACATTATACTCCATTTGTCAACTTTTTGTCGACCGACTTAATCTAACAATATCTCTCTGTAAACTGTTTGTGTCCATCTTTCAGCCTAACTTTCCACCTATTTTTGTCATTTTCAAATGTAGCTACAGTACATTCGCTTCCTTCCTCCAAGCCATTAATATATATCGCAAACATTTGTGGTCCTAGCACTCGTCCCTTTAGTGCTGGCTACAGTTTGCCAAGCAGAAAAGAAATCCTTTATTCCCATTTGCTGTTTCTTGCCCATTAGCCAATTCTCTATGCATGCCAATATACTACTTCCATTATCATGGGCTATTATTTTATGACTTAACCTTTTGTGAGGCACCTTGTAGTTTATCTATGTTCTACTAAAGTTACATTCTCAATAATAAATTGTTGAATTTTATTTAAGTTGTAAACTTGGTGTCCAAGATCTGTTTTTTGTAAAATCTGGTCAAGAACAATTGAGCAATTTTGAGAGTCAGTGAATGTTTTAATTTCACTGTGTTGCAAATCCATTGCTATCCCTGTGTCGTAATAATAAATGAATGCAAGCATATAATGCAAATAAATGTACGGCTTTTGTAAGTGCATAGGAGCAAAGCCAACCCCCTATTCAACCTGTTGACTCTTGTGTAAGGGAGCTGCCTTGAATTATCAGTAAGTTAACCTACGAGAGATTTGCAACCCTAAAGTCAGATTTAGATTTGTAAGACTTCTTTAAATTTATGTTGTACTATTTTCTGATATACTCATGCTTTGTAACTGGCTAAAATCCGAATGTAAAACTAGCAATAATTTCTCGCTTAAGTTGCTCTGATGAGCCACTCAAAATGAGTCTTTGGGTACCTGGCCTTCCAAAGTCTCAGAAAAGTTACATTTGATTCACATTCAAGTGTATTGCCAGTTTTTTTTTACAATGTAAAAACACCTGTATATGTAGATTCAATCATCAACCTGAAAGTTTAGAACTGGGTATCATCAGGATAAAATGTGGAGCTGTGAGCACCGTTACTCAGGTAAAAGTAATGCAGAGAAAGGATGAGAGGGAAGAAACAACAGTAATAAACATTTTGGAAAATATTCATTAAGAGAAATATGTAATTTTTCACTTTAACAAGCTAACAAGATTGTCTCTCCGGGAAGGTCAGAAGTTTTTTCTTCTCTTGAGAACTGAGTAGAACTGACTGAGTTCTCTCCTTCTTTGTAGTATTTTTGTGAGAAAAATGGTCAGATTATTTTGTTTTCCTCCATTTATTCAAGAGTCTGTTGTATTGTCTAAAAATATGATTGCACCCTGTTAATGTGATTTCATTGTTATAAAAAGGGCTCACATCAGATGCAGTGTTTCTCCCTCCCCAAACTAAATAAAGTATTTGCACATTTTTATGTGAATCCCTTTATTATAAACTAATTGACTGACTTAGGATTTTTATTTTTCTATTATGAGCAATCTTTCTTTTTCACAGGATGCCTATTCTGAAGTTGCTTTTCTTTTTGCTGAGTTCTTTCGAGACTTGGATATTGTGCCCTCCGACATCATTGCTGGCCTTGTCTTGTTACGTCAGAGACAGAGGGCCAAGCGATTTGCTGTTTTGGATGAGGTAGGAAATGGAATCTCTGATTTTTGGGGTAAGCAGCAGATTCTGTGGTTTGTGTGGGCTTTGGACCAGGCAGTGAGGACTGTGGGCTTTGGACCGGGCAGGGATCAGTGTTCAGAAAACCCTTGACCTAGGCAGTCTGACCTGTTTTTGATCAAATGTCAGCATTTTACAGGTTTCTATCATCCCAGAGATGGTTTCCTGTTCCTTGCCTATTTTCTAGCACTGGGGTCATTTTAAGTTCAGAAACTGGAATCCCTGGCCTGTGTTATTGTGTGATACCAGTCTGAAGACAAAGATTTGCTGTGGCAAGCCATTGTGTTGTTTCTCATATTTGCATATTGCTAACCTCCATCTATTTATGGACAGTTCCTCAAAAAAATCAATCCCAGGAAAAGGCAAGGAAGTATTGAGGGCATAATAAGCGCCCAAGTGGATATCTGCCTCTACCCACACTGGACCTTGAGAAATATCTGTTAGAAGAGGCTGAAAGTTTAGCCCTTACTTTTCCATTTTTCTAACTCTCATTCATGCGTTCAGCGGTTCCCTATACAATTGGACACTAAGTTGCTCCTCTTTTTAACTTGATCAGTGTTTTGAAGTGACCACAAAAGAAATATGTAAACTTATAGTTTCACTTCCCCCTATAATATGGAAGTAACTGACTCCATCCACTTCTAATAAATGGGCCTGAAAATGTAACTGCCACAACTCAATAAGGATAAAATGCTATCAGTTGAGCCCAACTATCCCCAGAGTTGTCACAAATGTAAACAGATTTAATCAAACTATCCAACTGTTACTTTCTTCTTTTACTTTCTTTTTGCAGTCCAGGTAGTTCTCACTTGCATTGGTCCCACACAAGCCATGGCCATCCAATCAGGAGCCAATGAAGATATTTTTGTCAAGCAATTACCCAACCCATCCCAATCCCCATCCCACTTGTATCCAAACTCATTGGCTCCCTGGTATCTACATTTGTTCTTACTTTTCCAGGGAAAGCAACATTGTGCGCATCTCAATATGCTCTAGTAAACATGGCTTTTTTACAACTGCAACCATCTCTTTACTTGGTCTCCTTGGTTTAAAGCAGCATCTTCCTTTTATCGAGCCACAGTCCAAAAATAATGGAAGTAGAAAAGACGTGATCTTTACACAGCATTTACTCTTCCCTTGGTGCAATTCAATTGAAAATTTAGTTAGTTTCTTCATTGGTCAAATACCATGTCAGTATTGGTACCCCTATTGCATCAAATTTGTACATAAATATTAAAAATACAGATTCATACATTTTTCCAGATGTGCTAATTCAATGTTGTAGATTCGTATTGAAAGTACTGTTTAGTGAACTAGTCTTAATTCGTTGTTTTCCCTAAATCATTTAGTTGACTGTCATACAATTTGTTTTATATTTACTAATATTAAGAAGTTATAATACTGATAAATATACCATATAACGGAGTTAAATGCAGATCAGAAAAACCCCAGTTTGATTTTTCATTTGTGCTAAATTCATTGGCCCCAACTGGGGCAACAGCAGGAGTATTTCAATTGAATTTCTGTCCCACAGATACTGAAGGGAAAAAAACCCAACTTCTATTTTCCAATAATAAGTATGCAAACAGTGATAAGGAGAGGATGAGGCAGTGGCCCTGCTTTTCATCAGATATCTTATAAGAATGGTCAGTTGGCTGAGTTACTGGAAATTATTCAGCACTGATTAATCCAGACCACCATCATTGCTTAGAGCTTGAAGAAAAGGCTGGGCATAAGTCAGTGAATGGAGGAGGGAATGGTTGTTGCCAGTGTATATTACTTGACCAGGCCAGCTGGTGAATGTTGAATCTTAAACCCTGTGAATCTATTTCAATCATTTCCCTATGGACCTATTGAAAAACTGTGATCTCAATCTAAGCCAGTATGAGCTGCAATACAAGAAACAGTGGATTTCATTTTCAGTACATCAAAAAAGCAAATGTGATAAAATGATGAATGGGGAAAAATGATGTCTAATCTTGAATTTTCTGCTGATGACATAGCAACTGATGTCATTTTTCTTTTTCTCTCTTGTAGGCAAACAATGACATTTTGGCCTTTTTATCAGGAATTCCAGTCACAAGAAATACTAAGTACCTTGACTTGAAGAATGCAGTGAGTGTTGTTCCTTACTATATTGAAACAATCGGCACATTGCCAATGTATAAAGTGGCTTGTACTAAAGTGAGTAAGGATAATAAAATAAGATTAAATTATTCATTCTGAGAAACCATTTTCTGAGAGATGTGTCTTAGCACGATGAAAGCCTTGGAGTCTGAGAACAAACTCTAGTTATTTCTTGATTAGTTTAATGGTCAAATATCTGTTACATTCAAACAGCAGGTTTAGCTGATAATTCAAGTTTTCAATTTTAGCTGTAAGATGTATAAGCAAAGGGTTGGGATATAGATCTATCTCTTCCTTGTATAATAGTTTGAAATAAGTGATGGATCTGTTGATTTCATCTCTCCTGAAATTTACCATATGTGCCAGGTACACTTGCCATATTGCAGACACAAAGGCATTTTGAGAGTGAATCCTTTCAGTAACTGAAACAGTAATTTATCAAACTGCTTTGTTCTCAAGCAACAAAAATAGAAATTGCTAGCAAAGCTCAGCAGATCTGACCGCTTCTGTGGAGAGAAATCAGTTAACGTTTCAGGTCCAGTGACCCTTCCTCAGAATCGGTTAAACCTGCACACCTTATCATTCACTTTGTCTTTTGTTATTGATTTAACACCTCATAGCATGTGATAAATGTGAATTCCTTTTTAAATGGTGAGAAATAGCTACTCCAATGTCTTGGTAAATTAATTTATTCCTAAGCAGCACAGTCAAGGAAATATGAGTCTGTACAGTTATCTATTCTCAGTGGCTAGGATGCTGTGTAAAAGATAGGAGCAGAAATAAACCATGTGGCTCTGTGGACCTGCTCTGTTATAAGATCATGGGTGGTCAGCATATTGCTTGAATTGCTTCAAGTCCAAGCAGCTATCAATGTCAGCTTTGAATATGCTAAATGGAGGCCAAATCAAGTTGTGAGAGATACAAAAGTGAGAAAAATAGTCAGGCCTCATACCCTTGAATGTCCTTACTAGGAGGACATGGGGATAAGTGAGTATTTGTGTGTGCTGATTACAATGTCCACCTTATTTATCTAGGATTTAGACACAGTTGATTCAGGAAATCTAGAGTCTCATAGCTTGATCCCTGTCCACTCCCACCTGCCCCATATGGCCTTCATGCTGACCCATATCTCCAACTGCTGTCAATGCCCCTCATACCCTCTATGCCTATTCAATACCAACATATATCTCTACCCACCCACTTGGCTTCACATAAGGGCGGCACAGTGGCTCAGTGGTTAGCACTGCTGCCCCACAGAGCCAGAGACCTAGGTTCAATTCTACCCCCGAGTGACTGTCTGTGTG